GTTTATACGGATTATTCCCAAAAAATTATACGTGTTTTGGAAATGTTGAGTCGAATTAGTCTAGAATAGATTAATTTTATGGAAGAAAACCTTTCAAACAGCCGTAATCCGTAAACTCTACACGTGCCGGCCTGTGATTGGCTCATGTATTTAAGGACTCGCAGAACATGAATTTCATAAAAAACGGAACGTATCTACCGTGTTATAGGGGGGTCGACTGTATTTTCGATTTATCTACATCATCATCTGTAATTTAAAATTATCATGTTATTAATTATTTTTATAAACCAAACACGCTTTTTCTTTCTTTATACATAATATAAAAATGTAATTACGAATAAGATTTTTTTTACAGAACAGTAAAATTTGCAAAAACACTTGAAAACGGGAAAACTACCTACTAAGCAAATAGATAAACCAACGTCTTGACCTAGTGCGACTCTAACGCCAGCTATTGGCAACCTGAAACATTAACTGTACTTGAGAGCATAGTGCAAGACCAGTACATCTATCGACTCTGGTAGTATATCTAGGTATGCATATGTATATATATACTATATTTTCATAATAAAATATATATTTTTTATTATAAAAATAAATTGGCACAAATAATTACAGAGGGAAAAAAGAAAAAAGAAACTGATATAAATATGAAAGAAAGAAAACGATATAAGAATTAGGTTCAATTAGAGTATTTGTTTTTAAATAGTAATTTATCAGCGCCATCTAAAGTAGAGAAGTGGAATTAAAAGAAAGAAGCGTTACCGGAGTTACTGCGTCGATGACGAATTCTTACGAAATTTTCGAAAGACAGAAGGAAAACAGAATAACGCCTTGTCAAAATAATTAACAGGTAAATTTATATTTACAAAAATATAGTTAAAGTTACTTAGATTTTCAAAAATGTCTTCTTATTGAGTATCATAAAAGAGTACAAGTATATTTTGGTTGCTTTAGTTGTTTGAAAATACGTAATGATTACAGGATTTATAGGAATGACTTAAACATATTTAGAAACAAGAAGCNGAAACATTAACTGTACTTGAGAGCATAGTGCAAGACCAGTACATCTATCGACTCTGGTAGTATATCTAGGTATGCATATGTATATATATACTATATTTTCATAATAAAATATATATTTTTTATTATAAAAATAAATTGGCACAAATAATTACAGAGGGAAAAAAGAAAAAAGAAACTGATATAAATATGAAAGAAAGAAAACGATATAAGAATTAGGTTCAATTAGAGTATTTGTTTTTAAATAGTAATTTATCAGCGCCATCTAAAGTAGAGAAGTGGAATTAAAAGAAAGAAGCGTTACCGGAGTTACTGCGTCGATGACGAATTCTTACGAAATTTTCGAAAGACAGAAGGAAAACAGAATAACGCCTTGTCAAAATAATTAACAGGTAAATTTATATTTACAAAAATATAGTTAAAGTTACTTAGATTTTCAAAAATGTCTTCTTATTGAGTATCATAAAAGAGTACAAGTATATTTTGGTTGCTTTAGTTGTTTGAAAATACGTAATGATTACAGGATTTATAGGAATGACTTAAACATATTTAGAAACAAGAAGACATTTTTGGGACGAGACTATGTCTGGGAAAGCGCGAGCAACGCACGCACTCGCTCCTGTTTGTAGAAACAATCTCGGCATTTCGTGTTCTCTTTTGACCCGCTTCTCGGTCGCCTGACTACGTACAAGTCTGGTTTATTTTATGTGCGCGTGATTTGGGCACCAAATACTCTGCGCCAAATTGCAACTCCTGACATCTACTCCTTCATACCTCTAAGGTGTGCAGCCGTTGACAGCGGCTCAATTTTAGAGACGAGACTATAATAATAGGTCATAATAAACAGTGTGGATTAATTAATAATTAATTAGAACTACTAAATATACTAAATTGTCATTGAATATCAGAAACTACTTGCTTTATGTTATTTCTATCAGACTTTGAGATTTAGTGGTTACTTTTAGGTAATTTGTATATAAGTATATAAACGCTGTATCATAATGTGATTATCTGTGTTTTTTTAGACTCTGATTACTTTTTAATTTGATATTTACACTTGAAGGTAGTTTTATATTATAATCGTTTATATATCTTGAATTTTTAAAGATACAGTATTATCTTTAGAGGAAAGATCACTGTAAATTAAATTGTGAAATGCTTGTGGAATTTCATTACAAGTATGGTACTTTCACTTATAATAAACTGGTTTTTGTATGATAAATACAAATAAATACAATCTGTATATATACATTTTGATTGTATTCAGAACTATTCAATGGGAACTGGGGATTTTTTTCTGAGCCCAGAAACCCGTACTGGTCCCTATTGATTAATGTTATTTTTTATTAACAAAAAATAAAATCTTTAAAACTATTATTTTTTTCATCAATAAAGAAATATTCTAAATATTTAATTTGTTCAGAAAAAAATGGTAAAAGGGGTTTGTTCTATTCAGAGCCCCATAAAAGCTCTCAATGGCTCTATTTGTATTTAATTATAGTAGATCCCCTATAACACTGTTGATAATTCCGTTTTATATGAATTCCATGTTGTACGAGTCACTTAGATTTTACAAATACGTGAGCCATTCACAGCTTGGCACACGTATTTGTAAAATCTAAGTGACTCGTACAAACATGGAATTTATATAAAACAGAATTATCAACAGTGTTATAGGGGTCTACTGTATTCATAACCGAGTGATTTATAGTTATATTTATATAAATTGTAATTATTTTGTAAACTAATTTTTATCTATTGTTAATTTTTATATGAGATAATTTGTGGATGGTTTATGAAATGAATTTTGTATGGATAAAGAATACTTATTCTCTGAGTACGCTTTAATGCTCATTAATGGTAGAAGCAAACTTTAGTAATATTTGAAGTGACATTAGCTTGAAATTGCGGAATGAAGTACTGTGTCTGCACGATTCAATAAACAGTTTAAAGCTAGTTTAAATTATAAAATAGGAGTTACAATTCAAACATTCGATAATTCATATCTAGAATTATCAAATGTTATCGAATAATAGTATTGGAAAGTAATATTACTTTTCTGATTAGTATGGCCATGTTCAAAAAATGATCTCCCAAGATTTTTACATTTTTGGACTGAAATGTCGAGAAATGCAAAACAATTCAGGGTTTTTTTCTGTATGTTTGGATATTAATGTGTGTGGGGGCTGAACGGTATGTCGAAGAAAAGTGCCTTCCAGAGGGACTTCCTATGAAAAACTAACCTTATTTAAATACTATAAACCTCATGTCATCTTCCCGGATTTAAAGTTTTATATAATTTTTTTCAGAAATTATTTGTCTGTCTGAGTTTCTATAAAAGGCAGGAAAATTCTTCTATTTATTTATATTTTTGATTTAAAACTTCGTTACATTCAGAAAATTTTTATTTAACGAAACTCAAATCGAAGAACGACACACAAATCAAACAGAAAACATTAAAATTTACTTATAACATTATTATATTTTACATAATAGGCACAAAGAAGAATTCGATTTTCTTCTCGCTTAAATACATTGCGCAAATAATTTTTTCGCTTCATTATAAAAAGGGAAAAACTATAAATATCTAAATTAATATACTGCTAAGTAATAACAAAATGAAATATAAATATTACAAATTTAGTAAGTAAACCTCGCTTTTATCTTTTACTTGATAATAAAGTTTGAGAATATTATCATTACTATCAATACAATTGCAGAGCAACTTGATGTAACTATAACTACACAGTGGCGCATTTAAGAATACGGTGCCCCTACACCCACAATACGCAGGCGCCCCCAAACTAATTGTGCCACTTTTGTACAAAACCATTCTATTTTATAACTTTAATTTTTAATTATTGTAGTTTTACAGATTTTTAAATATCAAAAGAGCAAAGGGCATTGTAATTCAAAACCCGTCATAAAAAATTCTAACATCACCTATATAAATTGAATAGCGTATATAATTGTATATGTTTCTGTGTGCATGTACACTTATAAGTATACACAAACATATTAGGGGAGATCGGGGCAACTTCGGCATGCGGGGCAAGTTTGTCAAGCGCTTTTTTTAAAAAACAAATTAAAAGGAGACTTTGGTTATAGGTTAGGCAGTTGAGTTTTATTGGTGGCTTGTTGAGTGTAGTGTTTTTATTGTTCTCCAACAAGCGTAGTTGAATTATCAAGCGAATTTTCATTTTCGTTGAATTCCATATAATATTTTGCTTCCATTTATATTGAATTGGCAGGTTTTGTTATAATTCCATGATAACGAAAGTTACTTTTCCTGTTAGAAGGATGTAACTTCAACTTATTCACGTGGCCAGATCGTGGCTTGGCATTCTGTTCTCAGGGTTGTACTTAATGTTTCGAAATCATGACTAGCGGGGTAAGATCGGCAACATAAAGCCACATTAGAAGCAAAGGATAAAAATCAAACAGATGATAAATGAAAACATGTTTGCATTTGTTATTCACGTATATATGTCTTTGAACTCGCATTTCGTTGTAATAATATTAAATGGGTGTTGGATTTGTATTTCTTTGTTTTAATAGTGAATTCCAACTTATACATTGTTAATAACATAATTTTATATACGTGCCTATCTTGACCCATTACTGTTGCCCCTATACCAGGGGCAACTTTAATAAAAATAATTAAAATAATTACGACTTTACAAAAAGAGAGAAGTTGTCGATCTTGCCCCAATACCCGGGGCAACTTCGTCAATTTCTCTCTTCTTGTAAAGTTGTAATTATTTTAATTATTTTTATTTCCAAACTGATTTTAACCAGTTCTATAGTAAGGTAACATTCCAATAGACAATATGCAAAGCTTTTTTTTCAGTTTACAGCAGTATTTATTACACAAAATTTAAGTAAAGCTTAACATGCCGATCTTGCCCCGATCTCCCCTATATAAAATATTATTTGATTTTTAAAATATTTAATCTTCAAAATATAAAATGAATTATTTATTTCCGACGTACAAAAGTTAACTGATAAGGTTTAGGCATTAAAGTGATTCCTCCTCCCGTTACTCCTTCTAAATCCGGGGTTGTAGGTTTAGGCCAAACAACTTGGAACTTCTGAAGGATTGAAGTCAAAAATAAGAAAATTTCTTTATAAGCGATTCCTTCTGCCGGACAGGAACGTTTACCTTCGCAAAGTATCAATAACAACCTTTAATATATATATTTTTTATAGTTTTATTTTAATAATAGTAAAATTACTAAACCGTAGGAAAATGGCGAGAAAGATTTCAACTTCTTGATACGTGAACCGTCCTCTGTTAGAAATCTTTCTGGTATAAATTCTTCCGGATTATCCCAGTATGTTGGATCGTGGTGAATGCTCCAAATATTTAGGAGTACAATTGTTCCTTTAGGTATTGTAAACTCTCGAATTTTGCAATCTGACAATGTGCTTTAATAGAATTTTCTATTACGTATGTAAATTTAATAGATACTGTATAACAAGGAAAAATCAGTTATACGTACTATCTTAAAAACAGAAAGGGGTGATACTGTCCTCCATCTTCCTGCTTCCATGATAACTGCTTGAGTATAAGGTAAACGTAGTCTATCCTCCCAAACTGGGTGTTCAGTACCAAACACTACATCTATTTCTTCCTGTACTTTTCTCTGAATTTTGGGATATGTCGCTAATGCTAATATTATCCACGATAACGACGAAGATATAGTATTGAACCCAGATGCTAATACTGTGCCCATATTACCGACATAACCTAGAACTAAATTTATTTGTCTCGTAATAGGCTGCCTATTGTGTCAACCACCACGCTCGATCCTTTTCAATTTTTTTTCAAATTACGCAGTAAGATAACGACTGGCTTGAACTGAACTCTGAAAAATATTTGATCCGAATGTTTTGTGGTTTCCAAGGTACGGGCCTTAATTTCGAGGTCATTCTTCTTTGCTCCACGCGCACAGCGCACAAATGGTGAGTTTTGTGCTCCTATTGTTCATCGTTTAAGCCAGCATACATTGTCATATATGGTGACTTAAGACAATTCTTTATCGTAAATTCATCTGTGTTAGTGGCGTTTTTCTGAGTAACGTGGCTTTTTCATAATATTTTTACGAAATTACGAAAACATCAATATAAATTTGATGTTTTCGTAATACGATGAATTAGCGTATTTGCGTTAGCGTATATAATTAAAATATATATACAAGCTTATTTATTTTTATTTATTTTTTAGCTGTACAAATCTAGTTTTAATTGAATCTCGTTCGAATGTCGAGTTACGAAGACGATTTGCCGACCACTTTAAAGTGTGGAAAGATATTCGGTTTTCTCGCATTTATGATCTTAAGTTTCTTTTTCATTACTACTATACTGTACTACGGTTCTAGTCCAATGAACGAATAACTTCGGAAAACTATAATTTTTGGTATCGTGTGCTTAATTACTGTTACCTATCTTACTGTTACGCTAAACAAATACTAAAGCGGCGAGCAAAGAATCGATGAGAATGAAAAGCAAAGTTGTAAAACAGTTTCTACTGGATGATGGCATATACGTACCGAGTTTAATGCTTACGTAATAACTAAAATTAGATGTATACGAGCTATACGATATACTCACTCGTGGATTTCATTTAGCATCCATATCACCCTACAGTTCATATAAAATGAAGCGGTATAACGTTCGAAACGTTTGATCCGAAAGAGGAAATAAATTTATCCATCTCTATTTTCATCTCTGTGTGAATTATGTTAAAAGGAGAGAAATCAAGCTTGAACGTTTCTCTTTGTTTTACTGTGACACCGTTATTGCTTCAGTGCACTATGGCACAGAATGCGTAAAGTTACACGAATACATTTGTTCATTTCTCCACTTTTGGTTTTGCTTTCATTATTGAGTTGCTCATCGCTTCGATACGTGTTTAGATTTAATAAGTTTTAAAAAGGCACCTGGAGACGGTCGAGCGTGCAGATTAACACAGTTAGCGTGGAATGTCTCGCTTCTTATGAAATAAATTCGAATCGTCTACACTTACCGGTATAGGGTGACCCAAGACTATTCTTGCTTTTCTCTAATTCACAGATATAAGCTTCCGAAAGTGTCTTAATATTTTTATTATTGTATTCTTTAAAAGGAATTTGAAAGAATTCACTATAAAAAAAGAAAATAAATTTTATTAATCATTAATAAAAATCATTAATCAGAAAACTGATCACTTTTTATAATGCTTACATTACTTTTTCATAACCCGCTGCCATTTTCTTTATGAAAGGACGATTCATTCCGTGAGAAACAAGATGTAAAAATTTAATCCAAGGGATAAATAGACTATAAGATATCATGCCCATATATTTTGAGTGTATTTCAACTAATTCATTTATACTTTCCCTTATAGCATGATGATAATCTAATCTTACGCCAAGTACAAAACTACAGATAACATTACTTGTGCTGGATAATATAAGCTGGTGGGTGTTCAACGGACACTCTTCACCCTGAGCCAATGCTTGTAACAGCAGCCGTATTTCTTCCTATACAAAATACAAACAATACAAAAAATGAACGATTATGAATTTTTCTAAGAAACATTAAATGTAAAAGGAAATTACCTCAATTGCAAAGTCATATCTTTCCTTAAGTATTCTCACGTTTTCGACAAAAAATCGGCGATTTTCGACCCATTCTTCTCCGCTGGATATTCCTAGACCTGTAAGAAAAATAATTTTATGTATGTAGGACGTGTATTAAGTAAAAAGTTCTATACCGTTCAACGTATCTGCACCAAACTGGACACGAATATTCTTTAACACCTTAGATAAAACACTGCGATGATCCACATTATTTAAATTACATTATCCCCACAGAACAAAGCCCATCCTCTCTTAACTTATGCCCGAGAAACGTCGGGCACACGCAGTTAGTGTTGTATAAATGATTATCTCACCTGTAACTTTAAAGAAGCGATCAAAAGCACTTATTGGAGGGCGACCAAGTAAGGCTGGCTTACTATACGCTTCTCTCATCACGTCATAACTTGATAATACTACTATTCTCTTGCTTCCAAGGAGAACACTAAAAATGTTACACAATACATTGTGTATATATTGAATTGTTGATCCTATCGAAAAATCAATTTAAAAACAGATATTAAGTTTTACCTGAAAATTTCACCGTATTTTAAGCGAAGTTTATGAAGTCTCGTATGCGCTTCTTTACCAAGAAAAGGCAAATAACCTACAAAAGGCAGGCCCGAAGGACCCGGAGGAAAATTTCTCGGCCTGGAAAAATAATGCTTTAAAACATTTACTATCGTCAATATAATAACAACCGAAAAAGAAACTAAACAATAATTGAAAAAATTTTCCATTGTGATGAGAGCAAAAATATTGACGTTGTCGTCACAGCTTTAATTTTGTTGTGTAAATTAACTTCACTCATTTTTCTTCGTATTTATAATCTATAAATACTAATTAATCAAAAAGCAAAAGCTTTTCCTGAGCTGCGAAGAGGAAAGAGCAAAAAATAAATGGCTTCTACTTTATCTAATATGAAGTTTCCTTGGTTATAAATTTTGTCTTATATCTTATAAAAACTGTAAACGATTCAAAAGCTGTTCGAATCCGCGCATAGATTTGTACAAATGAATGAAACAAATATTCTCTTTCTGGGCCAATTTGGGTGTTCACTTTACCATACTACAGCAAATATGACGTCCTCCTCGAGGAATAACTTCACTTAAAACTGTAACCACTAAACGGGCTAAAAATCATTGAAAGTTTAATGATTTAAAATAACCATTCCAACAATTGTTTTGGTACTTATGGGAAATGACGAAGTTTGCATATTGTAAGCGCTTTTTAGCGATTATTTAGGAATTTATCGTTTATCAATATCGCAAGGCTGAAAAGTTTTAATTGGTATAATTTCGTACAGCAGTTTAATTCCCGGGAGTGCACCTTGATGGTATGTATTTGACGAGGAACCCGGAAGCGCAAATCTATATGTTGTTGATAGAGTTAAGTGATTGGTATGACATACGAGACTGGTACAAGATTTTTAGTCTATCAGTCAGCACGAATTTCATCAATAGAAGATTTTATAGTTTTTTTTTGTTTCACTAAACACTAGGACTGTTTCCTTACAAATACTCCTAGTGATAACATCCACGATGTTCGGCGCATCCGTTCATTTACATATCACGTATTGTCGCCGTAAATATTACACGCCGCTTCCCAAAATCCACCCCCTAAGTCGGGTGGAGAACCTATGGCGCGCGTGCATGTAACGTATCATACGATTTCGTTTATCATCTATCTTTTTCAATCATCCTTTCGGTTTATCACCCGACTATCCTATGTGGGGTTGTTAGTCCCCCATCGGGCGCCTTCCCAGGTGGCGGATAGGGGAATACCTCCCAGATATGGGTGGTACCGAGAAAATGAAACACTCGGGGTGGACCAAAACTAACAATAGTCACGCCTGTCTTAGAATGAGCGGTGACCAGCAACGTCTGTACTCCGTGTGAGGAGTGGCTGAAACTATACAGGGGAAGGCAACGGGAAAACATTCCAGTAAATTGTTCCCAGGATATTACTATGGAGAAAAAAAAACACAAACAACGGCCCCTAGTCCCGGGCAGCCCTTGAAAGGACAGGGGGTGCGAAGAATTTCCCGGTTCAACATAGTAAAATCTAAACTTCGTATCGCTACATGGAATGTCAGGAGTCTTTATGCGAGTGGGAAATTTGCAAACGTCATCAAAGAAGCGCAAAGACTCAAAGTAAATATACTTGGCATAAGCGAACTACGTTGGCCAGACTCCGGAAAGTGCCAAAATGAACGCGGCACCCTCTACTATTCTGGAAGTGATCCCCACGACCGACACCACCTTAATGGGGTTGGAATATTTGTTTCACCCGAATATAAAAAATATGTCACTAACTTCGTTCCAATAACAGACCGTGTAATGCTCCTACGACTTCAAAGTTACCCCTTCAAAATCAACATCATCCAATTATGTTCCAACAGCTGACAAAAAATACGATGAACAGGTAGAAGCTCTTTATGATACGATCAGTAAGATCGTAAGCAGAACAAAATCCGACGAAATAACGCTAGTTGTGGATGACTACAATGCTAAGATCGGAGAAGGAAAGCGATCAGACCTCGTTGGAGTGCACGGCCTTGGACTAAGTAACCAAAGAGGAGATAGGCTCTATGAGTTCTGTCAAGAAGGAGAAATGGTAATGCGAACACTTGGTTCAAACTCCCCAAGAGACGGCTTTACACATGGATATCTCCCCTCGAAGACAATAATGGTACTCCCATAAGAAATCAAATTGACTATATCCTGATTAATAGACGTTTCAATATACCCCGGTGCTGACATCGGTTCAGATCATGTCTCACTAATAGCTGATCTGAAACTAAAACTTAAAGCAACAAAACAAAAATGGGACATCTCAAAATTTGAGAATGAACAAATAAAGCAACAAGTACAACAGGACATTAACCATGAACTTGCTGCAATAAAAGACACCAATGATAGTGTTTCATCTTCGTCTTTATGGAATGAGCTAAAGGATAGGCTGAGAAAAGTAGCTACTAAATGCCTGAAACGAGAAAAAGCCAGAAAAGATGGATAAACGCAAACATCTTAGATCTGGTGGAGAAACGAAGAATCGTGAAAAATAATAGAGAAGAATACCAAAATCTTAATAAAACTATTAAGACGGAGATAAAGCTGGCAAAAGAAAGATGGATGAAAAATAAATGTGAAGAAATGGAAGAACTTGATAAGAAACATGATAGCTTCCAAATGCACAAAAAAGTAAGAGAGATAGCCGGAATATACAGAAAGAGACCATCTCACACACTTTAGCCCAACAAACCAACCTATCACACGTGAAGAAGAAATGAAAGAAATCTGGGAAACATATATAAACGAGCTTTTTCGTGACAATAAGGCGTCCAAAGCAAGTGATGACGACTGTAACAATGGTCCCGAAATACTAAAAGAAGTCTTGCATGCAATCTGTATTACTCAAAATAAAAAAGCCACTGGGCCAGATGAGATCCCCATTGAAATCATTAAGCTTATAATAGAGGATAACGTAGGACGAGTTATAAAACTATTTAATCTCATCTATAACACAGGCACAATACCGGAGAATTGGTTAACATCAATATTTATTACAATACCAAAAAAGACTCGCCCCAAAAAGTGCAGCGATTACCGTCTGATTAGTTTGATGAGTTATCTCTTAAAGGTCTTGCTAAGAGTGATTCACTCCAGAATCCGCTTAAAATGTGAATTTGATCTTGATGCCAGATGAGATTTAGAAAGGCATTTGGAAGCGAGAAGACTTGTTCTGTACAAATGTGCTACTGCAAAAATGCCGATAAAGTATATCGATTTCGAGAAAGCATTTGACAGAGTGCGGCATGGCAAACTGATCGAGATGCTTCAGCAGCTGCAACTGGACAGCAAAGACATTCGAAACTTATCAAAAACTTATGCTGGGACCAAACAGACGAAGTCCTCATAGACAACCTGAAAACGAGGACTATCAACATACAACGTGGAGTCTTGTCATCCCTTTTATTTAAATTATATTCAGATAGGATTTTCAAAGAGGCACTTGAAGGGGTAAGGTTAATGGAGTTGTTCTAAATACAATAAGGTATGCGGGTGATACACTTAACGTGTGCGACACCATAAATGGGCTACAACAGCTAATGAACAGAATCAACGAAACTGGAAAAGTCTCGGGTCTTAACATTAATGTCAGCAAGACCAAATTTATGGTGTTTAGTCGGGATCAACGCGAGGACGCCCACTTATCACTTAACAACCGATCAATAGAAAGGGTTAATCATTTTAAATACCTAGAAAGTATGATCACACCCAACATGGACTCTGATACTGAAATTAAATGCAGAATTGAAACAGCTCGCGCTTACTTTAAAAAATTGAGCGCTCTCTTTTGCAATGACAATCTAAATCTCAGATTAAGACAACGGATGGCGAAATGCTACATCTGGTCGGTTCTATTATATGGAGTCGAAAGTTGGACTCTAAAAAAGAACACAATAAACCGGTTGGAGGCTTTTGAAACGTGGATCCTCCGTAGGATGCTTCGAATACGATGGACTGTCTCGATGAGAAACGACGAAGTCGTACGACGAGCAAATTGTAAGAGATCGCTAATCATTAACATAAAGTGTCGCAAAATTGCCTACCTCGGCCATGTGTTACGCGGAGAAAAATACAGTATCACTTTCTCCAGCTGATACTGAAAAGAAAGATTGAAGGAAAACGGGGTGCTGGTAGAAGGCAGACGTCATGGCTAAAGAACATCAACGAATGGACTGGTATGCAAAGAGTTGAAGATCTCCTTAGACTGGCGTGAGGCATTCTCCATAGTGATCGCCAACGTCCGTGGACCGGATAAGGCACATTAAGAAGAATAATTTGTTTTTCCTTGTAGTGGCGTGTTATAGCTTCGTGAGGGTAGGCCAGGTAAATTTAAATTAGGAGGCCCTATGTAAAGTGTTGATATTAAACATTTTTCTTCCAGGGAATTTTTTGGGGAAAATATTTTCTTATAATAGCAGGGCAGGGGGACTCGGGTAATTGTCCTTTTTGTCCATTGGATAACGCGCCACTGTTTCAAGGTGGTACGCGGGGCTCGTTTGTATCACAAACTCATTAACAATACATTTCTGGAAAATTTTGAAAAACTGTTCATGGAAAAATGTACAGTACAAGTACATGTGATAATATAACTTTTCATACTCGTATGTGAGTTTTCTATGAATTTATTAGTTCACCCAGGTACAATTTTAGAATGTTGGCGTTCCATCATCTCGGCGTATCTAGCACGTGCTTCTTCTGGCCATTTTTGTAATGTAAATTAATTAATTTCACTCATTATTTTTTGCATTTATAATCTATAAACACTAATTAATAAGAAAGAAGAAATTTTTCCTGAGGTGCGAAGAGGAAAGAGAAAAAAATAAATGGCTTCTACTTTATCTAATATAAATTTTCCTTGTTTATAAATTTTAATTAAAACTACTACTACTACTCCTCGGCATTACAGCCCATGTAGGGCCCTGGCTTCTGACAATCGCAAAACGATCTTCTGCACGTTTCCACCAATCACCAACCCCCATCTTCCTGAAATCATCCTTCACAATATCCAGCCATCGCCTCTGTGGTCTTTCTCTACATCTGCCACCCGGATTCCCTCTACAGATCTTCTTGGCAGCTCTATCACCTGACATTCGCTCAACATGTCCCAACCATCTCAGTCTGTTACTTTTTATTTCCACAACTATATCAGTATAACCGTATAGTTCTAC